GCCACCTCGGCACCTCTGGCGTTTTGATGGTTAGTTGGAGATAAGAGTCCCAATTTCTTTCCTGCCTAGGCTGGCTTCAAATGATCCTCAGATCTTGGCCTCCTGAGTAGCTAGGATGACAGGTGGGGGCCGCCGGCGCCGAGGTCCATTGAGAGCGTCTGGGTCTCTGCCTGGAAAACCTGGCCTGGGCAGCGGGGCCATCTGTGATGAGATACCTGCGTGTCTGCCCTCTGCGTTTGCTTTAGGGTCTTACATTGCTCTCGCAGAGCAGCTCTGAAGACATTGGGTTCTGTCTGGATCTGGGTAGAGTGGAGGGGAGCGGGGGAGGGTGCCCGAAAGCACAGCCCTCCCCAGCCTGTGGCCTGATTGAGCTGCGAACCTGCCCCGAAACAGCACCCGCCCGGCCCGGGGCGGTGGGCGTCCACCACGCGGGAGCCCTGGGAAGACCCCCCTCGGCCATCCGGGGGCAGCTGCAGGCCATCAGCGTGGTGGGGGGGGCACCCTGAGGCAGAGCGCTGTGGATGGAGCACCGTCTCGGCCCTGGCCCACGTGTGCCCAGCCGGCCCGGGACCGCCCTCTCCACGCCAAGGTAAGTGAGAGGGGGGGAGGCTGCCCCGTCCGCGGAGGCCCAGCCACAGGGGCCAGTAGTAGACTTGTTTTGTGTGGTGTGAGACTGACCCTGAGGGGCGCGGAGCCCCTCCCTGCCTGCCGCCCGGGTCTCGGTGGCCGTGCGCCGAGTGGTATGGAGTTCTGGGGTGCTGTGTGATGTGGGGTGATTGCTGGCTGGGAGCCTGTGATGGTCTTGGCCACGCCTGGCCTGGCCCCCGGGGGACACTTCTCCTGGCAGCGTGGGAGCTCTGCCCGTCTCCTCGGGGCTCGCAGAAAACCTCGCTTTCTGTCACAGACCCTAGTGGGCAGCGCTGACACCCATTTCCCCAGCCTGCAGCCCAGGCCTGGCTGGTGGCCCTGCCTCCCGTGTGGCCCTCGGTGTGTAGAGGTGCTGTGTGCGTGGTTGCTGGGTGTTCCTGTCCCCCGTGTGGCCCTCGGTGTGTAGAGGTGCTGTGTGCGTGGTTGCTGGGTGTTCCTGTCCCCCGTGTCCTTGGTGTGTAGAGGTGCTGTGTGCGTGGTTGCTGGGTGGCCCTGTCCCCCGTGTGGCCCTCGGTGTGTAGAGGTGCTGTGTGCGCAGTTGCTGGGTGTTCCTGTCCCCCGTGTCCTCGGTGTGTAGAGGTGCTGTGTGCGCGGTTGCTGGGTGTTCCTGCCTCCCGTGTGGCCCTCGGTGTGTAGAGGTGCTGTGTGCGTGGTTGCTGGGTGTTCCTGTCCCCCGTGTCCTCGGTGTGTAGAGGTGCTGTGTGCGTGGTTGCTGGGTGGCCCTGTCCCCCGTGTGGCCCTCGGTGTGTAGAGGTGCTGTGTGCGCAGTTGCTGGGTGTTCCTGTCCCCCGTGTCCTCGGTGTGTAGAGGTGCTGTGTGCGTGGTTGCTGGGTGTTCCTGTCCCCCGTGTGGCCCTCGGTGTGTAGAGGTGCTGTGTGCGTGGTTGCTGGGTGTTCCTGCCCCCCGTGTGGCCCTCGGTGTGTAGAGGTGCTGTGTGCGTGGTTGCTGGGTGTTCCTGCCCCCCGTGTGGCCCTCGGTGTGTAGAGGTGCTGTGTGCGTGGTTGCTGGGTGTTCCTGCCCCCCGTGTGGCCCTCGGTGTGTAGAGGTGCTGTGTGCGTGGTTGCTGGGTGTTCCTGCCCCCCGTGTGGCCCTCGGTGTGTAGAGGTGCTGTGTGCGTGGTTGCTGGGTGGCCCTGCCCCCCGTGTGGCCCTCGGTGTGTAGAGGTGCTGTGTGCGTGGTTGCTGGGTGGCCCTGCCCCCCGTGTGGCCCTCGGTGTGTAGAGGTGCTGTGTGCGTGGTTGCTGGGTGTTCCTGCCCCCCGTGTCCTCGGTGTGTAGAGGTGCTGTGTGCGTGGTTGCTGTGGTGGCCCTGCCCCCCGTGTGGCCCTCGGTGTGTAGAGGTGCTGTGTGCGTGGTTGCTGGGTGTTCCTGTCCCCCGTGTGGCCCTCGGTGTGTAGAGGTGCTGTGTGCGTGGTTGCTGTGGTGGCTTGTGTGTGTGTGTGTGTGGGGGGGGGGGTCTGGCTCGGGTCACGGGGCCACCCCGGTGCCCTCCGCAGCACAGTGGCGTTGTCATCGTGCCCGGGAAGTGTGGCCCCTTGGGCATGCGCGGTGCCGCCTGCACTGCTCCCCGGGCGTTGCCGAAGGGCTGGCATTGGTGGTGGGACAGGACTGTGCGGGGCTGCGCGCTTCCTGCACGCCGCGGAGCCCCGGGTGGCCCCCGGCGCAGCCTCCGTCTCCAGGCCTGGGGACAAAGTTGGCTGTCCAGTGTCGTCTTGCATGGCCCTCTTGTCCCGGCGTGGCCGCGGGCCACTAGCGCGTGGGACTGAGCGGTGCCTTCTGCCGTCTCCAGACGCTGCTCCTCCCTGTCCGAGCCGGGCTCGGGCGGCGCTCACGGCTGTCCTGGTGTGCTTTCAGGTGTGGCGGACGCCGAGGCCCTCGCCGAGGAATGCCTGCGCAGAGGCCAGCACTCGCTGCCCGCCACGTCCACCGCCGCCGCCCGCCTGCCCCGGCCGGGCCGCGCCGGCCCCGGGGCCAGACTCCCGCCTCACCCCGGCCTGGAGGACAGCGAGGACCGAGACAACCCCATGACCTCAGCAGGTGTGCAGGAGGGCGCTGGTGTGGTGGAACCCCAGAGCGAGCCGCCCCCAGACCCCGAGCGGCCCGAAGACAAGTCCGGCCTGTGCTGCTGTGTCCTGACCTGAGTAGGCGTGGGCAGCCGGGGCGCAGCGCCAGGCCCGTGGCGGGGAGCGGGGGTGCCCGCGCCCCGGCCCCGGCCCCGGCGGCTCCGTGGGAGGCCCGGCCACGGCGGCTCCGTGGGAGGCCCGGCCACGGCGGCTCCAAGCCAACCCCACGATTAAAACGGGGGTCCCAGCGCTTGTGACGTGTGTGCAGTGTGTTGTGTGAGCGAGGATGAGAGCCCCGGCCTTGCACAGCCACCTGAGCCCTGAGGCTCCCGGGACTTGGAACTTAGAGACTGCCCCGCCTCACCTTAGATGCGGGCCCGTCCCGTCCCTCCCCTCTGCCTTCCTCCCCTGCGCCCTTCGAGTTCTCTCTGTTGCCAGCAAACGTGCTCCTTGGGGTCCCCACGCCAGGCCCCACCCCGCATTGCATCCGGATGGCACAGGTGGCCGCGAGGCCCCCGAGTAGGAAGCGGGGTCACCGCGGTGGACCTTGCTGTTGGGAGACAGCCCCTCTCCCCAACAGCAGAGGGCCTGGAAGAGAGGAGGACAGTGCCCAGTGCCGAGAGCCTGGAGGGGCCTGTGCCCTGCTGGCTGCCCACCTGCTTTGTGGCGGTGGTGGGCATTCCGCGGCTCTTGTGCCCGGGAGGATGCGCCAAGCGGGACCCCAGGGCGCCACCTCTGCAGCCAACGCCCTGACGTCCCTGTGCGGGAGCTTGCCCTGCCTCGGGTCCAGCGGCGGTGTTCTAGAAGCTGCTCTTTCCGTTCTGACTGCCCTTTTTTGGCGGCTGGGCTGTGACCCGGGTAGGCAGGTGCTGATCCTGCACTTGAGCCGGCACTCAGCCTCCGTAGGGCAGCTGGGTTCCTGAGGACTTCACGTTCTTTCCTGCCCTGGGGTGGAACACGGGCCGGGTCGGCTGAGCATATGTTCCAACACCCAGCCACAGCCCTCTTCTGGGCCAGCATGCTAACCCCGCGCTTTACCACCAAGCCACACCCTTGGCTGGAGACTGTGTGTGTGGGGGGCGTGTGGGTGTGGGACTGGGCACTTGCTTGGAACCGCCATCCTCAGATCTCAGTCTGAGCACCTAGGATGGCAGGTGTGAGCCACCAGCTCGGGATTGGACACTTCTTTTGAGTGGGCAAATGGGCAGACTTGTGATTGGCAGCACACTGGGCGGCGGGTGCAGAGCGCCAGACCCAGGGGCCCGGGGCGCTGCCCCTCTGCGACCTCCCTGCTCATCCGGTGACGACGTCTTGCTGGGCGTGGTCCCGGGCCGACCTCAGGGCCCTGCTTGTCTTTTTCCCTCACGGTTGTCACTCTCTTGAGCCGCCCTCCAGTTCGGGAAATAAGTCTTGCTGTTCTGCCTGTGGCTGGCTCTCAGATCTGGGCCTCCTTAGGGGCTAGGCATGTGCCTCTCGTAGCGTTGTGTTGTCAGATGGTGGAGTGAGCCGAGCCTCGGCTGAGTAGGGAAAGAAGGCAGGCCGGCGTTGGGAGCCTGGACAGCAGGGCGCTCTCGGCACAGCGGCCTCGGCTGCGCGGCCGCCTTCGCTGCTAGTGTTGGGAGTAGAGGGAGCCCAGTCGCCCCCGCCCGGCTGGCGCCTGTGGAAGGCTGCAGGCCAGGTGCCCCCCGCCGCCCCAGCCAGGTCCACATGGCCCTGGAACTGGCTGTTGGTGTTTTGTTTTTGCTGGATTTGCAAGTGTTGGGCACTTGTCTTGGAGAGAAGCTCACGGGCAGGGGGATCTTGGGCCTTGGGCGGGGTGAGCCTCCCGGCTGAGTGTGAGGGGAGCGAGTGGGGGAGCCCTGTCCTGCCCAGGAAGCCGTGTGCGGGAGGTGCCTGTGAAGTCGGGCGCGAGGGCCCTCCAGCGGCTGGGCTGCCATCCCCCAGCATCGGGGTGGCCGTGTTCCTGTCTGTGCTGTGAGGTGGCGGTTGCACCGAGTTTGACTCGCTGGCATGTCCTCTTTTCTTGTGCTGGGACTTGAACCCAGCCCTCGCCTCTGCGGGGCCAGTGCTCTACCCCTGAGCCACACTTCCGCCTGCCCTGCTTTCTGTGTACTGCTGTGGTGTGGATTGCTGACCTTGCCCTTGCCCTTCTGCAAAGGCAGAGGCAGCAAATCATGAGCACCCCTGTGCCGGCCCGGGGCTGGTGTGCCGCGCGCTTGGGAGTTTTGCACACCTGGAGTCTAGCGAGCCTTTCGGCGGGACCACTGACAGACCTTTGGGTTCAGCCTGAACGAGGCGGATGGAGTGGGAGGCGGCCCGGCCCGGCCCGGCGGGCGGTGGTGGTGCTCCGGAGCACGGCGCCCTGCGCGTGTCCACACGCACGCCGCTGCCCGCCGCCCGCTGCCTGCCCGTGGAGGCAGCTCCTCCATCTCCTGCAGCCACAGCCCACGCTGTGCCCCCCAGGGCAGAGCCCTTCCCCTGCGGCCCAGAGCGGAGGTGCCGGCACGTGTCCCCGAGGAAGGAGGCTGGGCCCAAGTCTGCCAAGAACAAGCCCATCCTCTGTGGGGCCTGGTGGCCCAGGCTGGCTGACCGCGCAGCTGGAGGGTCGAGGGCCAGGCTTGGGTGCGTCCCTGGGGGCTAGCGCAGCCGGATGGTAGAATGGATGCTCACTCGCGATGACAGCTCACCTTCTCACTGAGCTGTACATACGGACAACTCTGACCTTGCTTTGCGGCTTCCTGGTTTTTTTATTTTTTATTTTTTGGTCAGGCGTGGGGCTTGAACTCTGGGCCTGGGCGCTGTCTCTCAGCTCTTCAGCTCAAGGCGATCGCTCTACCACTTGAGCTATAGTGCCACTTCTGGTTTTCTGGTGGTTCATGGGAGATGAATCTCATGGGCCTTCCTGTCCAGGCTGCCTCTGAACCGGGATCCTCAGATCCCAGCCTGCAGAGTCGCTAGGATGACAGGCGTGGGCCCACCGGTGCCTGGCTTACGGCTTCCTTTAAAAACAAAACAAAACCAAAAAAACACGGGCAGTGTGTAGCCACCCGCCGCCTCTCCTGAGGAAGCAGGTGCTGGTGTGCGGTGTTTTACAAGCTGTGTTTCCGTAGGGGTCAAAGAAGGTGGCAAGAGGAAGAAGCAGAAGCAGAAAGAGGAGTCGAAGAAGAAGAAGCCGACCAAAGGGAATCACTAGGCTGGACTTGCTGCAGTCGCCAGCCCCGCCCCGCCCGCGCCGTGCGCCCGCGCCCGCGCCCGCAGCAGCGTCTGCTCGCTTAGTGGGACTGTGAACACACGCTCACGGATCGGTAGGATCAGGGCACCGAGACAGAGGTGACAATCGCGGGTGGCCTGCCAGCTATTTGGGACACAGCCTCGACTTTGTTACTCTGCTTTTCTCCAGCACTAAATCCGTGAGCGTTTTCCTCTTGAATTGCAAGGATCTGTCTTGTTCTTTCCAGCTGAGATATTGTAGTGGTAGAAGTTCAGTAAGCCGGGCCCGACTCCACACGGCACACGCTCCTTCCCGGTGGTGGCACGCCGTTTGCAATTGGAATACGATTAGGTACCCTGTAACTTAAGAGAAACTTACACTGCCGGTACTTTTTTGCCCACAGAAATCTGACAGCGCACTGTCGGCCATCTTAGTGGCTTCACAGATAAGACCCTTCCTGTCATTGTCATCCTCTCCAAGTCCAAATTTGACTGCAAGTCTTGCTTAATTTTTGCTAAATCTCATCTTTCTCGGATCTATAATTGTTCTTTTTTAGTAAGAAGGTTTTGCTCAGCGAATACCATCTGCAGCGTTTACAGGTCAAGCTTAGGCTGGGGAAAACCAAGCTGGTTATTGACACACATGTACTCCCCTTACACATATACATACATGTGCAAAATAACCGGCCACCTGGCAGAAGCTTGACCTGAGTAGTTAGAGTTTGCACACATGGGTCCCTGAGGCAGCGCTTCCTCCTCGCGCCGTCCACCGCTGTCACCGCACCCGCATGCTGCTGCGGCCTCCCCCCCCTTCCGACGGGACGCTGGCACCCGCCGGCCCCCTGCCTGCCTGCCCCCGCTCCCGCGCCCCTCCCCCAGCCCCGAGGACCCGGGTCGCTCTGCCTGTCCCCCGCCCCCGGGGAAGAGGTGGCCGTGTTTGGAGTGGGGGTGTGTGGCGCGTCCCCGTGTGCGCAGCCGTGTGCCCGGCCTGGGTGGGACGCGGGGCGGGCCCTCGTGGGCCGCATTGGTATCTCATGCTTGTGGAAAATGTGACCTTCAAGGCACAGCGTGTTTTACTGCTTCCTACAAATAAAGCGTATGCACTGTTGAGCCCAGCTCTCTTGTGGTTAATTAAAGATGAAGACGGTGCCTCCCACGTCCCCGGTGAGGGAAGATGAGGGGGGACTCGGGGGCCAAGACGCATCGCTGGGGGGATGCGGAGGCTCGTGTGTGGAGGGCGTCGGCTGCCACAGCCTGTGGGCCTCCTGGGCCGCCACCAACTGACAGCACCGGGCGGGCACACGCGCAAGCGAGACTGCAGGGAGGAGGGTCATTCCAGGCAGTGTTCCGTGTGTGTGCGTGCACGCATGTGTGCTGCAGGGAGGAGGAGGATCATTCCAGGCAGTGTTCCGTGTGTGCGCGTGCACGCACGTGTGCTGCAGGGAGGAGGAGGGTCATTCCAGGCAGCCTTCTGTGTGTGCGTGCACGCACGTGTGCTGCAGGGAGGAGGAGGGTCATTCCAGGCAGCGTTCTGTGTGTGCGCGTGCACGCACGTGTGCTGCAGGGAGGAGGAGGGTCATTCCAGGCAGCCTTCTGTGTGTGCGCGTGCACGCACGTGTGCTGCAGGGAGGAGGAGGGTCATTCCAGGCAGCCTTCTGTGTGTGCGCGTGCACGCACGTGTGCTGCAGGGAGGAGGGTCATTCCAGGCAGTGTTCCGTGTGTGTGCGTGCACGCACGTGTGCTGCAGGGAGGAGGGTCATTCCAGGCAGCCTTCTGTGTGTGCGCGTGCACGCACGTGTGCTGCAGGGAGGAGGAGGGTCATTCCAGGCAGCCTTCTGTGTGTGCGCGTGCACGCACGTGTGCTGCAGGGAGGAGGAGGGTCATTCCAGGCAGTGTTCCGTGTGTGCGCGTGCACGCACGTGTGCTGCAGGGAGGAGGAGGATCATTCCAGGCAGTGTTCCGTGTGTGCGCGTGCACGCACGTGTGCTGCAGGGAGGAGGAGGATCATTCCAGGCAGTGTTCCGTGTGTGTGCGTGCACGCACGTGTGCTGCAGGGAGGAGGAGGGTCATTCCAGGCAGCCTTCTGTGTGTGTGCGTGCACGCACGTGTGCTGCAGGGAGGAGGAGGAGGGTCATTCCAGGCAGTGTTCTGTGTGTGCGCGTGCACGCACGTGTGCTGCAGGGAGGAGGATCATTCCAGGCAGTGTTCTGTGTGTGCGCGTGCACGCACGTGTGCTGCAGGGAGGAGGGTCATTCCAGGCAGCGTTCTGTGTGTGTGCGTGCACGCACGTGTGCTGCAGGGAGGAGGAGGGTCATTCCAGGCAGCGTTCTGTGTGTGCGCGTGCACGCACGTGTGCTGCAGGGAGGAGGAGGGTCATTCCAGGCAGCCTTCTGTGTGTGCGCGTGCACGCACGTGTGCTGCAGGGAGGAGGAGGGTCATTCCAGGCAGCGTTCTGTGTGTGCGCGTGCACGCACGTGTGCTGCAGGGAGGAGGAGGGTCATTCCAGGCAGCCTTCTGTGTGTGCGCGTGCACGCACGTGTGCTGCAGGGAGGAGGAGGGTCATTCCAGGCAGCGTTCTGTGTGTGCGCGTGCACGCACGTGTGCTGCAGGGAGGAGGAGGGTCATTCCAGGCAGTGTTCCGTGTGTGTGCGTGCACGCACGTGTGCTGCAGGGAGGAGGAGGAGGGTCATTCCAGGCAGCGTTCTGTGTGTGCGCGTGCACGCACGTGTGCTGCAGGGAGGAGGAGGGGCATTCCAGGCAGCGTTCTGTGTGTGTGCGTGCACGCACATGTGCTGCAGGGAGGAGGAGGGTCATTCCAGGCAGCCTTCTGTGTGTGCGCGTGCACGCACGTGTGCTGCAGGGAGGAGGAGGGTCATTCCAGGCAGCCTTCTGTGTGTGCGTGCACGCACGTGTGCTGCAGGGAGGAGGAGGGTCATTCCAGGCAGCCTTCTGTGTGTGTGCGTGCACGCACGTGTGCTGCAGGGAGGAGGAGGGTCATTCCAGGCAGCCTTCTGTGTGTGCGTGCACGCACGTGTGCTGCAGGGAGGAGGAGGGTCATTCCAGGCAGCGTTCTGTGTGTGCGCGTGCACGCACGTGTGCTGCAGGGAGGAGGAGGGTCATTCCAGGCAGTGTTCCGTGTGTGTGCGTGCACGCACGTGTGCTGCAGGGAGGAGGAGGGTCATTCCAGGCAGCGTTCTGTGTGTGTGCGTGCACGCACGTGTGCTGCAGGGAGGAGGAGGAGGGTCATTCCAGGCAGTGTTCCGTGTGTGTGCGTGCACGCACGTGTGCTGCAGGGAGGAGGAGGAGGGTCATTCCAGGCAGTGTTCTGTGTGTGTGCGTGCACGCACGTGTGCTGCAGGGAGGAGGAGGGTCATTCCAGGCAGCGTTCTGTGTGTGCGTGTGCACGCACGTGTGCTGCAGGGAGGAGGAGGGTCATTCCAGGCAGCCTTCTGTGTGTGCGCGTGCACGCACGTGTGCTGCAGGGAGGAGGAGGGTCATTCCAGGCAGCCTTCTGTGTGTGCGCGTGCACGCACGTGTGCTGCAGGGAGGAGGAGGGTCATTCCAGGCAGTGTTCTGTGTGTGCGCGTGCACGCACGTGTGCTGCAGGGAGGAGGAGGGTCATTCCAGGCAGCGTTCTGTGTGTGCGCGTGCACGCACGTGTGCTGCAGGGAGGAGGAGGGGCATTCCAGGCAGCGTTCTGTGTGTGTGCGTGCACGCACGTGTGCTGCAGGGAGGAGGAGGATCATTCCAGGCAGCCTTCTGTGTGTGCGCGTGCACGCACGTGTGCTGCAGGGAGGAGGGTCATTCCAGGCAGCGTTCTGTGTGTGCGCGTGCACGCACGTGTGCTGCAGGGAGGAGGAGGAGGGTCATTCCAGGCAGCGTTCTGTGTGTGCGTGCACGCACGTGTGCTGCAGGGAGGAAGAAGATCATTCCAGGCAGCCTTCTGGTTCTGTGTATATGTGTACATGTATATGTGCCCATGCAAAGGTGTATGCCAGACCTAGTGCCTGGGTGCTGCTCCTGAGCTGTTTGCTTTACCTCTTGCTGTTGTGGTGCTTTACTGGGGGTAGGAGTCTTGAGCCTGCCTGGGCTGGTTGAACCGCGATCCTCAGATCTGAGCCTCTTGAGGAGCTGGGATTACAGGTGTGAGCCACCAGTGCCAGGCTCTGTCCCTGTGTGCCCGCTGTTCCCATGTGGCCTGCTCTCAGAGCGGGTGACGCAGCCCCGGCCCTTCCCCAGTGCTTGGAGAGGCTCCCGCACAAAGGCCAGCTCAGATCAAGGAAAGCATCCACAGCCACTCCTGGCCACGGTGGCGAGGGACAGGCCCTGCAGCACAGCAGTCCTAGCGTGAGGCGTAGGCTGAGGCCAGCTGGACACTGCTGGGGGGAAGGAGGGCTGGAGGGGCAGGCGGATGCCAGCCGGTCACTGCTCAGGGGTGAGGCGCGAGGGGCAGGCTGATGCCAGCTGGACACTGCCAAGGGACATGTGGCCAGACAGCTCTTGGGGGCCAGGAAGGCTGGCAGCCCGTGGCTCCACACCAGGCAGCGGATGGGCCAGAGTTGGGGAGGGCTATGGGGGAGCCCAGGGGCACAAGACGCGCTGGGGCCCTGAGGGGCTGCACCCCTGCCAGGTGACCCGGGCCACGGGCTCCGTGTGGGCGGGCCTAGTGGACGCCCCGGCCCAGCCCTGGGTTAGGTCAGCAGCGGATTCCTGTAGGATGAAGTCTCTCCACTTGGCAGCCCCAGCAAGAAGCTGGCCCTCTGGGGCTCTGCGGTGGTCCCCTGGGGTACCCCGCCTTCAGTGCTGCACAGGGCGGGCAGATACTGTGCACCAGGAGCTGGGCAGCATTGTCTTCCAGGCCTCCACCTTCAGGGATGTGGCCACCCCCACATTCGACCAGGTTTTTTGTTTTGTTTTGTTTTGTTGTTGTTGGTGGTGGTGGTGGTCATGGGGCTCAAATTCTGGGCCTGGGCGCTGTCCCTCAGCTCTTCAGCCCAAGGCTAGTGCTCACTGTTTGAGCCACAGCACCACTTCCAGTTTTCTGGTGGTTTATTGGAGATAAGAGTCTCACAGACTTTTCTGCCCGGGCTGGCTTTGAACCATGATCCTCAGATCTCAGCTTCCTAAGTAGCTAGGATGACAGGTATGAGCCACCGGTGGCCAGCTTGCTTTTTTTTTTTTTGGTGGGGGGGGGGTATGTGTTGGTCCTTGGGCTTGAACTTTGCCTGTTTTTTTTTTTTTTTTTTTTTGCTCAAAGATAGTGCTCTACCACTTGAGCCACAGTGCCACTTCTGGTTTTCTGAGTGGTTAGTTGGAGATCTTCCTGCCCAAGCTGGCTTGGAGCTGTGGGCTTCCGTGCAGCCTTTTGAGTGGCTTGGGTCCCAGGTTTACCAGCGGTGCCAGCCCTGTGTGCTTCCCACAGGGAGGTCTCATCGTAGGGAGGTTTCATCGTGCCTCCGGAGGCTGGGAGCGGGGGCACTGTAAAGGCTCTGGCACAGCATGCTATCCCTCCGAGTCCCCGAGTCTGGTCTCTAGGTGCTGAGGATGCAACCTGGGTCCTTGCCCATACCAGCCACCCCCCTGCACCAGGAGGAGGGGAGAGGCAGAGGAGGAGGCCCTGGGGTGTTCCGCAGGCAGGGTCCTCTAGTGTGGAAAGTGGGTCAGGTCTGTCTTGGGCCCTTGCTGACTGCCCAGTGGCCAGAGATGCTCTTCAGTCCTAGACTTGGGGCCATCCTGGTGCCCACAGCAGAGCTGGGGGCCCATGCCGGAAGTGTCTCACTGAGGGGATGTGGTGAGTGTGGAGTGTCTGCCGCAGGCGCGCTCTGCTGGGAGCCTGGTGGGCGAGGCCCATGCTCTGCATGGCAGGGGCTGTGTTCGGTCTCCACCCCCTCTGGGCCTCTGCTTCGCCCCCGTGTCCAGTGAGGGCCCTTGAACAGCTTCATCTCACTCTCCACGTTGGGCTTGCACTTGATTCACAGCGTCCATCATAGATAAGTGGAATTTGGTTTTATAGCATGAAGAACTGTTCCTCTGATTTGTTAGCTGTTGTGTGTTGACCCACAGGATGTATCAGGAAGTTCTTAGGTTGTCTGGACTGAGGATGGATGTGG